CGGTTTGACGTGGCGGGCTGTGGCCGTCCGCGAGCGTGTGACCCGGCTCGGCGCTGCGCCGCCGCCGTCGGGGCCGCTGTCGGGAGTCCGCTGGGCGGCAGGTGGCGCTGCCAGCAGCCGCCGGCCGGCGCCCGTCTCAGGTGGCCGAGATGGCGACGATTACGCCCAGACGCTCGTCGGCAGCACCTGCCGCCGACCTCCCCGGCGTCGCCGGCGCCAGCGGCTGCCTCCGCCACTGCAGGCGGCAAGCTGTCACTGCACCTTCAGCATCCCCTGTGGCTGCACTTGCCCGACGACTTCTCGTAGCCACTGCAGCCGGACGATGAGTGGCACCGACGTACGTTGACGTTTCGTTGTGAATAAGCTAAGTAAATAAGCGTCTTTCAGCCATGCCATCGTTATCACCGCGCGTGTAACCAAGCGGTACATTCCACCTGGTCCGGACGGTCGTTTTTGCTCTTTGCTGCATGGGTGGCAGTACCGTCGTTTGCCCACATCCCTTGTCCTTCCGTCGCCATATAGTCCGAGCCGGATCGGCGAAAAACGCGCACCCGTCTGCCTTGAATTCAGCTCCAATTGGCCGGTTTTTCGGTGATAAATCCGGCCCGTCGCGTTATTGCCGTGACTGGGCCGGCGAGGTTACAGGGGTCGGTAAGGTCGAGGGTCAAACGAGCCTCTTAGAACAAAGAGGCCCGTCTCGGTGGTCATGGCTGGATGAGCTCATGTGATCTGGGCTGGTGAGCTGATGCTTGTGCCCGATAGCTGTCCGGTAGTCACGTGATCGGGCGATGATTCCTCTTGATTTAACTGCTCGTAATAATGACACCCGTGCTTATGTCCAGCGCCGAACACTCCGGACACCGTCCGGGGACTGGGGCTAACAACGAAAACGGCTTCGGGGCTCGAGTCGGAGAATACTGCGGCTCGTACTGATTTAATTGCTATTTTAGTTTTTGTCGTAAATGCGCTTATTATGGTGCAATGATGCTGCAAAGTCCCGGCTTAGGCATGGGCACGAAAATTTATGAGTGTAGCGTTACCTTGAGGTCAGTGGATCAGAACAATGCCGTGCAATGATCAGTGGCCATATTTTGTTGTTCTACATTTGCTAAGGGCTGTAAATAGCTGTTGTCGATTAGAATCCTGGTGTGGTTTTAGTAAAGGATAAACTTAGAAAACGTCTTTGTGCATTTAGCTTCCTTCGGGGTCAGTAATGCCATCTGATCACGGAAATGTTTTGTAACTCGGAAGTCGTTGCGGCTGTTGCTCCGTTTGCTAGGGAGCACTGACACACCTATCATCCTTGTTAGGCTGGCATGCCTTGGTATGCCGGCGTGCACACAGCGTTCGCCATTGTTTTCCCTTTCCTTCGACTTCACCGACGGCCCAGCCTGAGGTCGCGCACCCTCCACGTCGCGAGGGCATTGCTGTCGTTTATGGGGGCTGACTGGTTATCAGTGTACCATCACATCCGTTCACGTGGTGCTCGTGACCGGACGGTCGACAGTGCCTGCCTCGCGGTCTGATCGGAGCACGGTGTCGGCGGCCCGGCTCATCTCGGCGTGACAGTCGGCCGCATCTTCAGGGGACCACCTGGCGCGGCGCCCAAGGCCAATCCCAGAGCCATTGTGTGACGGCGGCCTTGTGCCCCCGCCCTCCCCCTCTCCCGCACCGATCCTGACGGACAAAAAATGCCCCACTACGCCAGTTGTGAACGGCACGCGAGTGGGGCCCGGGTCGCCCGCCGCCGCGCCGCCGGTCCATGGGAAGAGGCCGCCCTTGGAACGCGAGTCGGATTGTCCGTAAGGAGGACAAGGCTGCCAGATTGATAGTACGCTAAAGGACATGGCGGGTGGGGCGAGTGGCCGGAGCCAGCGCCGCCGCGAGGTGATTGGCCGCAGTGAAGGGGGCAGAGTCCGCTGCCGGCAAATGGGTCAAGTTAAACTGTTCGGCGGTGGGATGGCGTCATTCTAAAGCTAGCTCGCGCCCGACTCCGCGCGTGGGTTAGCTTCGCGTTGCGTGGACTGCGGCGGCCCCACGCCGGGGACCGGACTGGCCGGACCAGAGAGGCAGGTGTTCCTCATCACGCCGCGGTCCGCCGTTCGTCAGTCTTCGCACGTCGCGCCGGCCACCCCCCTGTCGCCGGAACGCTTGGCCACCTGAGCGCCATAAAACGGAACGGAACGGAGCGGTCCGCCGCCGCCGTCCCGGGGATAAATCGTGGTTTGGCGCCGCCCGGCGCGCCGCTGACCCGGACCCGGTCCAAGGTCAGCGGCGCCGGGTCCCGGCCGCCCGCCGACCCGACCCGGCCACCAATCTCTGCCGGCGATCGGGGCCGGCCGGCGGCGCGCGCGCGCGGCCCCTCGACGCGCCGCCAGTGCCGTCAAGGGCGGTGCTCTGACCGGCCTGGGATAACGGTCAGCGGCCGGCCGACCGGTCGGGGCAGCGCGACCGGCAGGTCCCGAGACAGGGCGTCTGACAGGTCACCGCCGCCCAGAGCTGCGGCAGCCATTCATCCCCGCCGTCTGTCTGGTACCCAGCCAGCGAGCGCCGTCACGCCCAGCGTCCTCATGCTCTTCCGCCGCCGCTAAGCGTGTGTGTACGCTGCCGGAACCGTGCTGGGACCCTCCACCATTTGATGTCCGGCGGCAGTCCGACCTTTGCCTTTGGCTCCGACCGCCTCCGCCCTCTGCGTGCCTGTGTGACCCGCACGTACACTGTCCGAGCGCCGCCGCCGTCAGACGTGTGTACCGCTGCCTCCTCCAGCCCAGTGGCATGCCCGACTGCCGTCACGTCTCCGCCCCGTCCTGCCCCACCGCCAGTGTAGCAGCAGCCGGCCCGCCGCGAATGTTCCCAGAACACCTTCAGCCGGCGCTAACGGTGTCGGAGCGGCGCTGCTTTTAACCACGAGCGCATGGTGAAAGTCGTTTTTGTCTGTGACGATCGCTGTTTTTGCTCTCTGGAATCGACCCAAAGGGCGGTCGGCGGGACGGGGAGGCGAAAACTGGCTGACAGGCCAACCTCGGTCTCAGCAACGTCCGCGCCTGTTGGGACGGCATGGCGGGTCACCCTCGGCCTCAGCGACGTTAGCATCTTGTTTGACGCCCTGAACGGCGTTGGCCTCCCGCCCCCTGGCGCCACCCTCGCCAGCGTTCAGACGACATACGGCGGCCTGACACGAACCATGGACGCTCGGCGCCGCCCATGGCCCTGGCAGCGCGGACGGGGCGCGGCGGCGCACCAGGCTCCTGCCGGGCAGGTGGTCCACACCCCGGGCTGCCGGCCAGGCCCCTCCGTCCGCCATCTGCCGAGGCTGGTTTTATGCTCGCCGTCGGCCGTCGGCAGGCTTGAGTGGAACTGGGGCTGTTTAAGCAGTGTGGAGATGCAGAGCCGTAGTGGTTTGGTCGAGGATGCGGTCTTGTGACGCGATCTTGTCGTAAAATGGCTCCGGGTGCAGCTCCGGATGTGCCATATTTCCTTCCGGCAGCAGCCAGGTGGTGGAGGTGTTGCTAGGTTTGCAATCAGATCAGCTCGCGCATGCACATTCCAGAGACAACGGCTTACGCGCATTTTATTTTCCTAATTGCTGTGAAATACACTCAAAGCATGTTTTGCGGTCACTGTCGATCGCTCAAAACTGCTCAAGGTTTTCGGATGCTAGCGTGCCGCTGCGCTCGCAAATGACGAATGTGGAGCGGACGATATAGCGATGCGCGCCCTTCTGGGCTCTCTGCGCTCTCCCCCTGGGCTTTCCGCGCTCTCCTTCTGGGCTCTCCGCGCTCTCCCTCTGACCTCTACGCGCCAGACGCCCGTCCCGTCTACAGCGGGGGCGCCTCGCGCACGACAGATTTGTCTTCCAAACACGATACCTCCAGACCAAAACAGCGTGCGTGTGTCGTGAGCACCGTGCGCTGTGCCGAGTGCAGGCGGCCGGCGGGAGCGGGGCGGGATCACCTGGCCGCCGACAGGTCTGGGATCTGGGTCATGGGTCCCGCGGCCACCGACGCTGACGCACCGGGGCGCCCTTTGTCGGCGTTGGAGCGCTTCCGGCGTGCTCGGCCGGCCGACGGTCCGAACAAGTGCGACGGAAACACCACACGGTTTCGGCCAGAGTGGACACAGAGCTGCGGCGCGACCGCCGCCCCGCAGCTGCAACCTCCCAGCATGACCTTCCAGCGCCGCTGGCTACAGACAGCCACCGCCTTCCAGCGCCGCTGGTTAGGCTACAGACAGCCACCGCCTCCCAGCGCCGCCGGCTACAGACAGCCACCGCCTTCCAGCGCCGCCGGCTATAGACAGACACCGCCTCCCAACGCCACCGGCTACAGACAGCCACCGCCTTCCAACGCCAAGATAGCCACCGCCTCCCAACGCCGCTGGCCACAGACAGCCACCGCCCTCCAGTGCCGCTGGCTACAGACAGCCACCGCCTCCCAACACCACCGGCTACAGACAGCCACCGCCTTCCAGCGCCGCTGGCTACAGACAGCCACCGCCTCCCAACGCCGCTGGCCACAGACAGCCACCGCCTCCCACCGCCGCCGGCTAGACAGCCACCGTTCCCCAGCGCCCCAGCTACAGACAGGCATCGCCTCCCAGCGCTGCTGGCTTTAGACAACCACCGCCCTCCAGCACTGCTGGCTTTAGACAACCACCGCTTCCCAGCGCTCCGGCTGCGCGGTGGAGCCGTTTTTACACGCAGTGTCTCACCCGCCTGGTGCAGCGGGTGAGATCCAGTGTGGCGGAGGTCTGAGCCGGCCAGGCGCGCCACCCGCCGCGGGCGCCGCCGCCGCCGCCGCCGCCACTGCTGCGCCGCAGCGCCGCGCCGCGCCGAAAGCGAAAACTGTGTTACAGAGGTAGTGGGCGGCCGGGCGAGCGCGGAGCGAGGCGCGTGCTGGTGACCGGCGCCGCAGTGACCGGCGTGACATTGACCTTGCCGCACGCGCCGGGCTGAGTGCAGCCGCAGCGGGCGGGTGCGTCGGTGGTGGTGATAGGGACAGGGCAGCGGCCCCTGGCTGTGGTGCATCGGCCAGTGTCCGTCTCCTGCGCAGCGCAGCGCCGCGCCCGTCCGTGATTGGACCTGCAGCCAAGTGGTAGGTAAATTAGTTATGTGATGTGAGGGTTATTGAGGGCGGTGGTACCAGTGAGAACACTTGGCAGTTGTAGCCAAAGCTGGTGCGGTGCTCCGTGACCGTGTGCTATGAAACTCAGCTGTAGCTAATTAACATCAGCTGACAAATCTAAATTCATATTAGCTCAAAGAAAGCCTTTCATATCGGCCTGAAATTCGTGACGCACTGAAGATTCCTCTCTGCCCGCAATTTAGCAATGCACTGCAGTTCACAAAATACTTGTATTGTGGTTAACAAAACCTATCATTTGTTTGTGATCGATTTTTGTGATATGTACAGAGGCGACTTATTCGGCTGGGGCAGGGGGCAGCTGACCCCCAGCTCCGGGCAACATTTGGAGACATTCCACGGCGGTGCATGGATAGGAACGAATTGAAAATCCGGTTGCGCCCCCTCCCCCCCCCCCCCCCCCTCCTGCCCTCCTTCCTCCATCACCACAGAGACTCCGCCGGCACTGTACGTATGCCAAGTTAGCACTAAGAACATTGCATGGCTATCGCACCACTGATGAGCAACCTAAGACGGGCGACTTTGGTATCAGGCACCCTCCGTCCGGTATACGCACTTACGTTTAGCCGAGATACAGCAACTTCAGTAAAGACAGGTGTGAAAATATTCGGCTATTTTTTGTACCATGAATCGTCGTGTTTGGAGCATGACAAAAATCGGTAGCTTTTCGCATGGGTTTCGTGTTGGTTTTGGTCTTGGTATTGGTCGTCACCGTATCACGATGTTCTAATGGGGTCGCTTTGCATACCGTTACTCAGAAATACGATGGCCTCTCTAAGAACGCTATTTTAAAGCGCCTAAGACGTGATTGTCGGGGCACAATGTAAATTGGATGGCTGCCTAACGGACTGCCATCCATAATTAAGATTTGTTTAAGATTTCATTCATGAGAATAATCACTCTTCATTATACAGGCAGTAGCCGATGGCATCCAGCTACTTTGCATCTGTCGTTCCGAGTTTTGGTCATTTGTGTACGGCAGTGCGGGTTATATTGGGGAGCAGAACAATGCGCCCCGAAATATGCCATGCTCTAATTTGTACTTGAGCTGGAGCAAATTCAGGCCGTGGCAGTGTTCATGAGGAACTCAAGGCATGAACAGACGTCGGCGACGGTGTCGCAGATCTGTCAGGTGATGCCAGTTCACGAGTATAGCTGCTTGGAAATGGCATTTGATCAACATACAATTGCCTGCACCAAGATAGGCCTCCGAACAAATGTGACTATGCTTTGAGGGCACGCCACTACTAACACAGGCACTGCTGGTGACCAGAAGGTTCGATAAATCCTCACCTATACGCTCACGAATACCCTATGGATGCTACGATCATCGAGTGTTAACAAGTGACGGTATTCCATTGGGCGTGACGATAATTCGCACGTAACTTGCACTGACTACCGGGTGTGACACTTCTCACCTGTGAGCGTGAGTGAGCTGAATGACGGTTCTCACCCGTCGGCTTCGGTGTGGTTGTTCGTGTTGTCTGCCAGCGCGCTGTGGAGAATCATATGTAATGATTCTCGCCCATTTCTCACGCTGTACTTCTCGCTTACTTGCACTCGTTAATGCTCGCCGGGGAACATTGTTAATGGACGCCGGTTTGTACCGGGCCTGCCCAAGGCGTGTGCGTGACGGTTAGCAGCTGTCTTTGGTAGCGAGCGTCCTCCTGGTTCCCACCTGAGTGTGCGGACAGCCCGGTGATCTTCACCCGGATGCCGGATGAACGGTCTGGTGATTTTCTGCCACCTGCGTGTGAACAGTTGGTGCCCCGTAGTCAGCTGTCTCTGTGAAGGATCCGTTAATTTCTCCTGCCGTTTTGGTGAAGCTTGTCGGGCTTATTGGCTTCGGCGAACGAGCTTCCGCCATAAGTGATCTGTGCTGACTAGGGGAGGGCGCCGGCTCTGCTACGTTGGGGGGAGCCACGGCGGTTTCCTGACAGATACGACAGATCCGGGGTGCGCGTCACCCGCGGACTGCGATCTCGCCGGGAGGACTAGATCTTTTCGCCCGTGGGCTGCCCTGCCGGGGCCAGACGAAGGCGCCGCCGCTTCTTTTTCGGCACGGCGTCTCAGATGTGGTTGGGATGTGCCAGCTGCGAAAAGCTGTAGGTCATTACTCTTCGTTCAGTCATCAGCGTGCCAAGCCCCAGCTCGGCCAGCGGTGGAGGCGTCGGGCTCGTGTTGCACCAGAAATCAGTCATTAGGTCGCGCCGTGGCCAGCTGTAACCACCCTGAGATGTGGACTTATCGCAAAGCTGACGTCATGTTTCAAAGTAAGGCACGTTGAGTTGAGATCGCAACAACGGAGCGGAGTGAAAGCTGTGAATATATCATTGTAATTCATGCGATGGCTCACCGTGAATCGCGGTGAGCCTTCCTTTCTTTTACTAGTGTTCTATTACAGTTTCGTGCTCCACATACGAACGCTGTTTTCTGGGACGGGAATGCCATCCACGTCGCCTGCCGAGGCAGCAGATCAGGAGCCTCAGACCAGCGCTCGTCCCGCAGCCGGGTCCGGAACCGGCATCGAGTCCGGTCAGAGCCCAGCGGACACAGTGTGGTCCCGCTGCTGGGCCGGGCCCTGGGGATGTGTGGTGGAACCCCAGCCTGGAGACGGGTGCCGGTAGGGTGCAGTCTGGCGCGGCTCTGGGGCTAGGTCCTGGGAGCGTGTGGTGGGACCCCAGCCTGGAGACGGTGCGGTAGGGTGCAGTCTGGCGCGGCTCTGGGGCTAGGTCCTGGGAGCGTGTGGTGGGACCCCAGCCTGGAGACGGGTGGCGGTAGGGTGCAGTCTGGCCGGCTCTGGGGCTAGGTCCTGGGAGCGGTGGTGGGACCCCAGCCTGGAGACGGGTGCCGGTAGGGTGCAGTCTGGCCGGCTCTGGGGCTAGGTCCTGGGAGCGTGCGGTGGGACCCCAGCCTGGAGACGGGTGCCGGTAGGGTGCAGTCTGGCGGCTCTGGGGCTAGGTCCTGGGAGCGTGGGTGGACCCCAGCCTGGAGACGGGTGCCGGTAGGGTGCAGTAGGGGGCAGTCCTGGTCCGGCTCTGGGGCTAGGTCCTGGGAGCGTGTGGTGGGACCCCAGCCTGGAGACGGGTGCCGGTAGGGTGCAGTCTGGTCCGGCTTTGGGGCTAGGTCCTGGGAGCGTGTGGTGGGACCCCAGCCTGGAGACGGGTGCCGGTAGGGTGCAGTCTGGCCCGGCTCTGGGGCTGGAGCGGGGCAGGGTACAGACGAGCCGTGCGCCCCTCCGTCCCCGCCGTCTAATGTCTGCCCCGCATGCACCGTCACTTTCCACAGTGTGCATGCGCGGCGGGTCATTAGCTGCAACTGGTGGGGGAAGTGGCTGGCGCGCGGCCGACCGGTGTCGGCTGACCTCAACCGGCGTAGAGGTCACGGCGAGCGCGCGGGGGCTCGCGTGGGCGGCACTAAGGAACGGCGCCTGGCGGCAACCAGACTGGACCGGCTGCTGGATGCGGTGTCCCATTCGGGCAGTTTGCATAGGCTGGGCTGGGACCACATGGGCTGTACGGAAGGGTAGGGGAGCCACATGGCTGCACGGAAGGGTAGGGGAGCCACATGGCTGTACGGAAGGGAAAGGGGAGCGGGCGTCGCACCACGACATGGACTTTGAAGAGATACCAGTCCTCATTAGGCGGATAACGCGGAGAACATGTACCGCTACCGCTAGAGGATTGGCACAGGGAAGACATGTCATCTTGTAAGACGTTCACTACAAGGCTACAGACGCCCAGGCAAGGTCCTCCCCTCTCCCCCTCCCCCTACGGAGGGGCCGCCAGCGCGTAGATGAACCGTTCTCACTGCGGGCGCATAGTCCGGCAGCTGGCGCACGGCTCCGGACGAGCTGCGCTTCTGGGAAGCGACCTCCTTGGAGGGGGCTGCCGCAGCAACTCGACGCCCCGCCACTCCGATGCCAGCGGTCAGTTGCCGCTGCCGTCGTCGGGAGACGGTCTCGCGCCGGCAGGGGTCAGTAGTCGGTGCCGCCGTCGGGAGACGGTCTCGCGACGGCAGGGGTCAGTAGCCGGTGCTGCCGTCGGGAGACGGTCTCGCGCCGGCAGGGGTCAGTAGCCGGTGCTGCCGTCGGGAGACGGTCTCGCGCCGGCAGGGATCAGCCGTCGGGAGGCGGTCTCGCGCCGGCCGGGGTCAGCTGCCGGTGCCGTCTGGAGACGCTCTCGCGCCGGCAGGGGCTCGCTGCCGGTGCCGTCTGGAGACGGTCTCGCGCCGGCCGCGACGCGCCCTGAGCATAGGTGCACCTGATTGGCGGCGCAGATAGCCGCCGACTATTGTCCACCGGCGGCCAATTAGCCGGCCGCGTCCGCCCGTTTAAAAACCGCCGGCTGCGACAGCGATGCAGCAGATGTGCCGGCATTGTCTTCGGTCCGGTGCGCTTGCTACTGCGCTGGTGCCAGAGAGGAATGACCCAGTACTCGTGAAGGTCGGGCGCCATGCACTGGCGCCGACGCGCCGTTCCAAGGCTAGCCGCGTGGCAGCGCCCGTTCGGTCGTGCGGAACGGGCTGCACTGTACGGCCAGGGGAGCGCGGAACGGGCCGCTGGGAATAGGCATTGGGCCGTTGGGAACGGGCAGTGGGCCGCTGGGAACGGGCAGTGGGCCGCTGGGAATAGGCAGTGGGCCGCTGGGAACGGGCAGTGGGTCGCTGGGAATAGGCAGTGGGCCGTTGGGAACGGGCAGTGGGCCGCTGGGAATAGGCAGTGGGCCGTTGGGAACGGGCAGTGCGGTCTCCGTAAACGGGCAGTAGGGCCGTCGCGAACGGGCAGTGGGGCCGTCGTGAACGGGCAGTGGAGTCGTCGGGGACAGGCCTTGGAGCCACCGGGAACGGACATTGGTGTCAACTGGGAAGGGGAGTGGGGACACGAGCGAAGAATGCGCGTGTCAGTGTGGGTTGAGTATATGAAAACACGAAGAAAACGGAACGGAAAAGAC